TTGGATTAGTTCTGGGAAGTCTCTATGATTCATTCATTTCTTCATTCAGCAAATAGTTATTGAGCATCTGCTATGTGCCAGGCACTGTAATAGGTTCTGCAGATACAGTGGTGAGCAAAACCAGGCAGAATTTACGTATTTGGGACTAGTAGTTGAATGAAGACATCTTACCTTAATCAAACAATAAAGTAATATACAATTAGTGTGAAAAATGCTACAAAGTAAGATATATAGTACTGTAAAAACATTAGGGGCAGCTGCCTTCTCCACTTCTGGGGGCATGGAGGTAGCCTCTCCCTGAAGTGCTTCAGTTGCAGGCAGTTGCCAGCTCTGAGATGAATGGTTCTGGGGGCACAGCTGCCGCCACTCTCCACCCTCTGGACCAAGGGTGATTCCCATAGTAGCATCCAGTAGGTGCCCACCAAAGTCACTATGGTCTTGTTATATTTCAGAAGGACTATAAGCATGATTGCTTTTGTGAAGAGCATCTTATTTCCTTATATCAGAGAAAATGTTAAGAATTAACCGCAGAGAAAAATACTTCTTCCTTCTTGGAAAGAAGAGTGCCAGTAGGACCTCAGTCTTTTGAGGTAACAGGCTGAAGAGGATTCCCATCAGGATAGGGTATTTTGACCTCTGCAACATCTGGGAATGGGGTGGATGATCTACAATAGATGTCCAAGCTGTGGTAGATCATGTGTGCTGGCAGAGATCTCTGGATGGAAAACCATGGTACTGATAACAAATACAAAGATTCATGTGGAAGGCAGTATTTTACAGCTGGGAGAATAAGAGCAGCATTCATTGAAGATGTCATTCCAGCAGCTAGGAAATGGAGAGAAGCTGGAATGAAGGTGTATATCTATTCTTCAGGGAGAGTAGAGGCACAGAAACTATGACTTGTGCACTCTACAGAGGAAGATATTCTTGAGCTTGTGGAGAGTTTCTTTGATGCCAAGGTTGGGCATAAAGTGGAGAGAGAGTTGTTGAAAGACTGCAAAACAGCATTGAATGCTCAGTCAACAACCTTTTTTTGACACATTAGAGGCTCGTGCTGCTGAGGAAGTGGACATGCTTATTGCTGTGGTGGTGAGACAGGGCTAGGTGGAGTTAAGAAATGATGAAAAGCCTATAGCCTCATAAATCATTCAGCAAACTACTTGTCCTCTTCAACCTAGAAAAGGATTTCTAAGGACGACAAACTGTTTCTCATAGTTTGTCCGTGTAGTCTGGTTTATTTTAATGGTAAAAGTAGCTTACTTTAAAAACATACACACACACATATGTAGGCAAATATGTATGTGCTCAAATTACCTTCTACAGGTACATGAGTGATAAAAATCTCCAGTGAAATTAAAACATTTTAAAATCTGTTTCTGTAAAAGTTATTTGAAACTACAACACTAACCCCTACTGAGGGCAAAGTATAATTGATAGAAAAAACTATTAACAGATCAAATGTATCAGTATCAGGTCATACACCAAAATTGAAAGCTAGTTTTGAGCAGTATTTCAGAAGCCTTGCTATTTTAAAAACTGAAAGTGTTTCAAAGTCTTACTCTTTTTTTTTTTTTTAAGATTTTATTTATTTGAGAGACAGCACAAGCAAGGGGAGCGGGAGAGGGAGAAGCAGACTCTGCTGAGCAAGAAGCCCAATGCCGGACTCCATCCCAGGACCCTGAGATCATGACCCGAGCTGAAGGCAGATGCTTAACTGACTGAGCCACCCAGGCGCCCCTCAGAGTCTTTTTTTTTTTTTTTTTAAGATTTTTACTTATTTATTTGACAGAGAGAGAGCCACAGTGAGAGAGGGAACACCAGCAGGGGGAGTGGGAGAGGGAAAGGGTTTCCTATGGAGCAGGGAGCCCAACGCAGGGCTCAATCCCAGGATCCTGGGATCATGACCTGAGCCAAAGGCAGACGCTTAACGACTGAGCCACCCAGGCGCCCCAGAATCTTATTCTTAATAATAAGTAATTGCCCTGTTTAACTGTGAGAGAATAAAATCTAGAAGACTGCAATAACTGCATTTCACAATATTTGCCTACCTGCATACAAAAGACAAAGATAGTTGCCTGTGTTCCAAGAGAGGGCAAAATTAGAAAGAAAACTCATTTTAGTCTTGAACCAGAGAGTGTATCTTACTTAAGAAGAGACTTGCTAATCGTTGTGGCATCCACAGCAAAAAATCGCCTTACCAGTGAAAAAGGTGCATTAATGTAAAGTTAAAAAAGAGATGTGGTTCTTAATGTTTCAAAATACAGTCCTAATCCTGTGAATTCTTTTTATTTTTTTTAAGATTTTATTTATTAGCATGCACACGTGAGAGTGAGAGAGAGCAAGCGAGCAGAGGGAGGGGGAGAAGCAGACTCCCTGTTGAGCAGAGAGCCCAACATAGGGCTCTATCCCAGGACCCTGGAATCATGACCTGAGCCGGAGGCAGACACTTAACCAACTGAGCCATCCAGGCGCCCCTAATCCTGTCAATTCTAATTATAGATTATAGCTGCCTTTCTGATAACTTCTCAGCATAGTTTGAGAAATTATATTGTTATTTACTATTTTTAAAATGATTTTCCTGAAATCAGTCTATCAGATCAAGAAGAATCCTATATATTTTCTTTTGACATGGATGTGAGAAATGTCAATTTTCTAACAGTAGTAATTATCCTGGTTCAGTTTTTTTTCTTTTTAAGATTTTATTAGAGAGAGAGAGCACAAGAGGCAGAGCAGTAGGCAGAGGGAGAGGGAGAAGCAGGCTCTCCAGTGATCAGGGAGCCCAACATGGGGCTCGATCCCAGAACCCCGGGATCATGACCTGAGCTGAAGGCAGACACTCAACTGACTGAGCCATCCAGGCGCCCAATGTTTGTTTATTTATTTAAGGGAGAGGAGACTTAAGCTCAGTTAAAAGCCGTGGGAGGAATTGAGAAGGAAAGTTGATTACGTAAGAGAGAGAAGGGCTAATCAATGATTTATGCTTCCTAAAATGTCAGAAAATTATAGAATCTAAGGCAGAGGGTTAGCCTTAGATAATGGAGAGAAATTTCCTCTCTGGAACTGGAATGAAGGAACTAGATGATCTAAAAGGAACAGATAGATGCAAATGTAGGTAAAGTGTATGGTTTCTATATTCTCTGAAGTAGGGGATATGTACTGAGAGAAGGGGGAAGCTGAGGTGGATTGGGGTTCAGAGTAGAAGAAGGAGTAGGAGTAAGGACCCATTTGAAGTTGGTGTTCATGAATTATCAGTGGAACACATTTGCCCTATTTCATGACTTTCTCCAGTAGAGTTTGATGACACAGGTATAAGCTTAGAGAAAAAAATTCATTGAGGATAATATTTTTGCCAGTTTAATTTAGGCATTTAGCAAGAATGTTGTTGAAATGATGGATCATGGAATCAGAGGTTGATGAGAGAAGTGAAGAAAGAAAGCTGATAGACCATAGGAGATAGCTTAATTTGGGGTGCCTTTTTAAATTTAGCTATAGTTCCCATTACCATAAAATTCACTCCTTTACAGTGTACAATTCAATGGTTTTTAGTGTTTTTAGTTGTGCAACCTTTACCATTATCTAATTTCCGAACATTCCCATCACCCTGAAAAGAAAGCCTGTACTTATTAGCAGTTAACTCCCCATTTCCTCCTTCCTCTAGCAACCACTGATCTACTTTCTCTATCTGTTGACTTGCCTATTTTGGATATTTCCTATAAATGAAATCATAGTATGTGGTCTTTTGTATCTTGCTTACTTAACAGTGTTTTCAAGGTTCATCCGTATTGTGGCGTTTATCAGTGCCCGATTCCTTTTCATGGCACAATAATCCATCATATGGATGTATCACATTTTATGTATCTACTCATCAGTTGGTGAATATTTGGATTATTTCCACTTTTTGGCCATTAATAATCCTGCTATGAACATTCATGTACAAGTTTTTGTATGAACATAGTTTTAATTTCTCTTGGGTATGTACCTGGAAGTGGAACTGCTGAGTCATATGGTAATTGTATGTTTTCAAAATTTGAGGAACTGCCAAACTGTTTTCCAAACTGGCTGCACCATTTTTACATTCCTACCAGCAATGTGTGAGGGTTCTGATTTCTTCACATTCTCATTAGCACCTGTTATTGTCCATCTTTTTGTTTTATTTTGTTTTGTTTTAAGTAGGCTCCACGCCCAGCATGGAGCCCAACATGGGGCTTGAACTCAAGACCCTGAGATCAGGCTCTGAGCTAAGAGTTGAACACTTAACTGACTGAGCCACCCAGGTGCCCCCGTCCAGCTGTTTTTATTATAGTCCTCCTACTGGGTGTTTTGGTACCTTTTAAAAACTTATTTTTATTTATGCAAGTAATACATGAATTTTTTATTTTTTTTTTTTAAGATTTAATTATTTTAGAGAGAAAGAGTGTGTGAGCGGGGGTAGGGGCAGAGGGAGAGGGAGAGAGTATCCCAAGCAGACTCCCCACTGAGTACAGAGCCCAACACAGTGCTCATGATCTCACAGAGATCACGACCTGAGCCGAAATCAAGAGTCAGATGCTTAACTGACTGAGCCACCCAGGCACCCCTACATGAATTTTTTTCTTATAAAATATTTACACTATATAAATCAAGCTAAAAACCCTATGACCTCCACCCCAGTCAGTTCCTATGCCTAATGTAAAAAGAAAAATTGTTTTCAGTTTGATATGTATTTTTACAGAATTTTTAAAAATTCTCAATGTAATAGCCCTATATAGCCTTCTTACATTAATCCAGCTGTTTTCAAAAAAACTGTAATAAATGAGTTTTTTTCTTTTCTAACCTTTAACTGTAAAATGTAGCATTTTTTAAAATGACAACATTGTTTAATAAAAATCATATCAAACAAGCAAGCCAACTGAATGCCTATACATAAGGCTTAATGTCCCATATATTACGGCTTTTAAAATGATGGCTATTAGTCTTTATGTATTGAAACATTATAAGTAATATTTTCTTCTTGTTCTTAGTGCCTGGCTCTCTGGCTATGAAAACCCTGTGGTGTCTCGAATTAATATGAGAATACAAGATCTAACAGGACTAGATGTTTCCACAGCAGAGGAATTACAGGTAGGTAATCACATTATCCTTAAACCATGTGCTATCACATTATTTCTTTATACTTTTTCAAAAAATGTTGCAGATGAGATTTCCTAACATTGTATGGGCACTGATTAGGTATTGTAGGAGAGTTTGGGACCCTAAAAGTGAATATGCAAGCTGAAACCAAACAAACTACTCTTTAATAATCAATGGGAAAAATTAGGATTAGTCTGTGAGCTCTAAAATTCTTTTACAAAACATTAAAAATTCGTACTGTTAAGTATAAATTTATAGGGAAATGAACAATATGTAACATTAATACTTATTATATAAATATTAATATATATAATATAATAAAATATAAATATATTTAATATATATTTATTACATAATTTTTTGTCATTCCTAACTAAACCTGTCAGGTAACCAGGGGCAGTTTTTTTTTTTTTAATGTGTTTTTTTTCTCTTTTCTATTGAAATAGAATTCACATACTTTAAAATTTACCCTGGTTTTATTACATGCATATGCTTATGCAGCTATCACCACTATCTAATTATAAGACTATTTCATCACTTCAAAAACTTTAAGCAGTCACTCTCCATTCCCTCTCCCTAATGCCAGTGGCAACTACTAATCTTTCTGGCTATCTATGAATTTGCCTTTTCTAGATATTTCATATAAATGGAGTAATACAATATGTGGCCTATTGTATCTGGCTTATATCACTTAATGTAATGTTTTCAATGTATCAGCACTTTATTCTTTTTCATGCCTGAATAATATTCCATTGTTTGGATGTATCACAACTTCATGTATCTATCAGCTGAAGGATATTTGGGTTGTTTGCACTTTTTGACTATAATGGCTAGTGCTGCTATGAATGTTTGTGTACATGTTTTTGTACAAACATTTAATTTTTTCTTGGGTATATAGGTATCTGTGGAACTGCTGAGTCATGTGGTGACTTTACAATTTGAGGAACTGCCAAACTGTTTTCCAAAATGGCTACACAATTTTATAATTCCATTGACAGAGTATGAGGATTACAATTTTTCACATCTGTGTCAACACTTATTCTTGTCTGTTTCTTTTTTCTCATTACAGTTTTCATTTGCATTTCCCTGATGGCTAATGGTGTTGAGCATCTTTTCATGTGCATATTTGCCATTTATTTCTTTGAAAAAATTTTTGTTCAAATCCTTTGACTAATTGGGTTGTTTGTGTTTTTATTGTTGAGTTGTAAGTGTTCTTTTTTCATTCTGGATATAGGAGCATTATCAGATATATGGTTTGTAAATATTTTCTCCCGTTCTGTAGGTCATCTTTCATTTTCTTGATGGTGTCGTTTGGCACAAAATTTTTGATTTTGATGAAGTCTGATAGGTTTTTTTTTGTTTTTTGGCTTTGGGGTTTTTTTTAGTTGTTTATGCTTTCTTTTTCTTTTCTTTCTATTTTATTAAATTCCAGTATAGTTAACATACAATTTTATATTAGTCTCAGAAGTACAATATAGTGATTCAGCAATTTTGTACATTACTCAGTGCTCATCATGATAAGTGTACTCTTAATCCCTATCATCTATTTCACCCATCCCCACCACCCATCTCCTATCTAGTAACCATCAGATTATTCTCTATAGTTAAGTCTGTTTTTTGGTTTGTCTCTTTTTTCCTTTGTTTGTTTCTTAAATTCCACATATGAGTGAAATCATATGATATTTGTCTTTCTCTGACTAATTTATTTCACTGAGCATTATCTTCTCTAGATCCATCCATGATTTTGCAAATGGCTAGATTTCATTCTTTTTTTTGTGGCTGAGTAATATTTCATTGTGCTTATATACCATAACTTTATCCATTCATCTGTCAATTAACACTTGAGTTGCTTCCAAAAGTTGGCTGTTGTAAATAATGCTGCAATAAATGTAGGGGTGCATATATCTTTTTGAATTAGTGTTTTTGTATTCTGGAATTCCTGGATCATATGGTAATTCTATTTTTAATTCTTTGAGGAATTTCCATACTGTTTTCCACAATGGCTGCAGCAATTTACATTCCCACCAACAGTGCATGAGGGTCCCTTTTTCTCCACAACCTCGCCAACACCTGTTTCTTGCATTTTTTATTTTAGCCATTCTGACTGGTGTGAGTTGATAGCTCATTGTGGTTTTGATTTACATTTCCCTGATGATGAATGATGTTGAGCATATTTTCATGTGTCTGTTGGCCATCTGTATGTCATCTTTGGAGAAATGTGTGTTCATGTCTTATGCCCATTTTTAAATTGGATTGTGTTGTGGGTGTTGAGTTGTATAAGTTCTTTTATTTTGGATACCAATCCTTTATCAGATACATCGTTTGCAGGTATCTTCTCCTATTCAATAGTTTGCCTTTTCGTTTTGTGATTGCTGTGCAGAGGCTTTTTATGTTGATGTAATCCCAGTAGTTTATTTTTGCTTTTGTTCCCTTGCCATAAGAGACATGTCTAGAAAAATGTTGCTACAGCCAATGTCAGAGAAATTACTGCCTGTGCTCTCTGCTAGGATTTTTATGGTTTGAGGTATCACATTGGTTCTTTAATCCATTTCAACTTTATGTTTGTGTATGGTACCTGCAGTTTTGTTCTTCTTTTTCAAGATTGCTTTGGCTAGTGGTGCCTGGGTGGCTCAGTCAGTTAAGCATCTGCCTTCAGCTCAGGCCATGATCCCAGGGTCCTGAGATCAAGCCCCAAGTCTAGCTCCCTGCCCTGCAGGGGATCTGCCTCTCTCTCTCCCTCTGCCTCTACCCTGCTATGCTCTCTCTCTCACTCTCTCCCTCTCTCTCAAAAAAAATAAATAAAATCTTAAAAAAAAAAATAGATTGCTTTGGCTATTGGAGGTTCTTTGTGGTTCCATACAAATTTTTGTATTCTTTGTTCTAGTCCTGTAAAAAATGCTGTTGGTATTTTGATAGGGATTGCATTAAATCTGTAGATTGCTTTGGGCAGTATGGACATTTTAACAGTATTTGTTCTTCTAATTCATGAGCATGGAATATCTTTCCATTTCAGTTTCTTTCATCAGTGTTTTATAGTCATCTTCAATTTCTTTCATCAGTGTTCTATAGTTTTCTGAGTACAGGTCTTTCACCTCCTTGGTTGGGTTTATTCCTAGGTATTCTACTATTTTCGGTTAAATTGTAACTGGGACTGTTTTCTTAATTTCTTTCTGCTACTTCATTATCAGTATATAGAAATGCAAATGGATTTCTGTATATTAATTTTGTATCCTGTGACCTTACTGAATTATCAGTTCAAGTAGTTTTTTTGGTGGAGTCTTTAGGATTTTCTATATATAGTATCATGTCATCTGCAAATAATGAAAGTTTTACTTCTTCCTTACCATGTTGAATGCCTTCTATTTTTTTTTTCTTGTCTGATTGCTGTGGCTACAGCTCCCAGTACTATGTTGAATAAAAATAGTAAAGATGGACATCCTTGGGGCGCCTGGGTGGCTCAGTTGGTTAAGCGTCTGCCTTCGGCTCAAGTCATGATCCCAGTGTCCTGGGATTGAGCCCCGCATCGGGCTCCCTGCTCAGCGGGGAGCCTACTTCTCCCTCTCCCTCTGCTGCTCCCCCTGCTTGTGTACTCTTTCTGTCTCTCTTTCTAGGTCAAATAAATAAATAAAATCTTTAAAAAAAAAAGACATCCTTGTCTTCTTCCTGTCATTAGGGGAAAAGTTCTGTTTTTCGTCATTTGAGTAGCTGTTTTTCATATATGGCCTTTATTATGTTACTGTGTTCCCTCTAAACCTCCTTTGTTGAAGGTTTCTATCATGAATGAATGTTATACTTTGTGAAATGCTTTTTCTGAATCTATTGAAATAATCACATGATTTTTATCCTTTATCTTATTGATGTGACAATATCACAGTGATTGTTTTGCAAATACTGAACCACCCTTGCATACCAGGAATAAATCCCACTTGATCGTGGTGAATGAGTTGTATTTTTTTAAAAGATTATTTATTTATTTTGAGAGAGAGAGAGCAAGAGGAGGGGCAGGGGTATAGGGAGAGTCAAGCAGACTCCCTCTAAGCACAGAGCCCAACATGGGACTCAGTCCCAGGACTCTGAGATCATGACCTGAGCTGAAATCAAGAGCCGGTGCTTACTGAGCCACCCAGGCGCCCCATGTTGAATGAGTTTTTTAATGTATTGTTGAACTTGGTTTTCTAATATTTTGTTGAAGATTTTTGTGTTCATCAGAGGTATTGGCCTGTAGTTTTCTCTTGCGTAGTGTCTTATCTGGTTTTGGTATCAGGGTAATGCTGGCCTCATAGAATGTATTTGGAAGCTTTCCTTCCTCTTCTATTTTTGGAATAGTTCGAGAATACGTATAACTCTTCTTTAAATATTTGATAGAATTTACCTGTGAAGCCATCTGGTCTTGGAGATGTGTTTGTTGCGAGTTTTTGATTACTGATTCAATTTCATTGCCAAATCAGTCTCTATTTTCTGTTTCTTCCTGATTTGGTTTTAGGAGGTTAATATGTTTCTAGGAACTTACCCATTTTTTCCTAGGTTGTCCAATTTGTTGGTATATAATTTTTCCTAATATTGTCTTACAATTCTTTGTATTTCTTTGGTGTCGATTATTATTTCTCTTCTTTGATTTCTGTTTTTGTTTATTTGATTCCTCTTTTTTTTGATGAGTCTGGCTAGAGGCTTATCAATTTTATTGATCTTTTCAAAGAATCAGCTCCTGGTTTCATTGATCTGTTTTTGTAGTTTCTATTTCATTTATTTCTGCTCTAATCTTTATTATTTTCATCTTCCTACTGGTTTGGGGTTTTGTTTGTTTTTTTTCTAGCTCTCTTAGGTGTAAGGTTAGGTTGTATATTTGAGATTTTGCTTGTTTTTGAGGTAGGCCTGCGTTGCTATAAACTTCCTTCCTAGGACAGGTTTCGCTGCATCCCAAAGATTTTGGACCATTTTCATTTGTTTCCATGTACTTTTTTTTTTATTGATTTCTTGGTTGGCCCATTATTGTTTAGTAGCATGTTATTTAACCTCCATGTATTTGTGTCCTTTCCAGTTTTTTCTTGTGGTTGATTTCTAGTTTCATAGCATTGTGGTCAAAAAAGATATTTGGTATGACTTTAATCTTTTTAATTTGTTGAGACTTGTTTTGTGACCTAATATGTGACCTGTTTTGGAGAATGGTCCATGTGCACGTGAATGTATATTCTGCTGTTTTAGGGTGGGATATTCTGAGTATATCTTACTAGATCCGTCTGGTCCAGTGTGTCATCCAAAGCCACTCTTTTCTTATTGATTTTTTTTGTTTGAATGATCTGTCCATTGGTGTAAGTGAGTGTTAAAGTCCCCTGGTATTATTGTAACATTACCAATTATTTCCTTTATGGTTTCTTTTTTTAAGATTTTTATTTATTTGAGAGAGTGAGCAAGAGAGAGCAGGAGTGAAGGGAGGGGCAGAGAGAGGGAGAAGCAGACTCCCTGCTGAGCAGGGAGCCCGACACAGGGCTCAATCTCAGGACTCCAAGATCATGACCTGAGCCAAAGGCAGACGCTTAACTGACTGAGCCACACAGGCACCCCCCTTTATGTTTGTTATTAGCTGTTTTATGTATTTGGGTGCTCCCATGTTGGGTGCATAAATGTTTACAATTGTTATATCTTCTTGTTGGATTGTCCCCTTTATGATTATATAGTGTCCTTCTTTGTCTTTTGTTACAGTCTTTGTTTTAAAATCTGTTTTGTCCAGTATAAGTATTGCTATCCTGGCTTTCTTTTCACTTCCACTTGCAGGATAAATGCTTTTACAAAATCCCTTCACTTTCAATCTGCATGTGTCTTTAGGTCTGAAATGACTCTCTTGTAGGTAGCATATAGATGTGTCTTGCCTTTTTTATCCATTTTGTCACCCTGTTTTTTGATTGGAGTGCTTAGTCCATTTACATTAATTATTGATAGGTATGTACTTATTGTCATTTTGTTACTTGTTTTATGGTTGCTTTTGTAGTTCTTCTTCCTTTTTTCTCTTGTTCTCTTCTCTCATGCTTTGCTGGCTCTCTTTAGTGATACACTTGAATTCCTTTCTCTTTATTTTTTTGCACATTTATTACCAGTTTTTGATTTATGGCTACCATGAGGTTTATATATAACATCATATGCATATAGTAGTCTATTTTCTTTTGCTGCTTTTAAAATTCGCTATCACTGCTTTCTGCCATTTTAATTACTTTGTGTCTTCGTGTGGACTTTCATGTTGATTTTGTTGGGGGTTCTCTGTACCTCCTGGAGCTGGATTTCTGTTTCCTTCCCCAGATTTGGGAACTTTTCAGCTATTATTTCTTCAAATAAATTTTCTGCTTCCTTTTTTTTCTCTTTTCCTTCTAGAATCTGTGTAATGCAAATATTACTACATTTGATGGTGTCACTGAGTTCTCTTAGTCTGTTCTCATTTATTATCTTTTTTTCTCTTTCCTGTTCAACTTGATTGCTTTCCTTTACTCTGTTCTACTTCCTCTGTTCTATTTATTCCCTCTAGTGTATTTTTAATTTCAGTTATTGAGTTGTTCATCTCTGATTGGTTCTTTTTTATGTTTTCTATCTCTTTGTTGAGGATCTCATTGAGGTCCTTCACTTTGTTCTCAAGTCCAGTGAGTATCTTTATGACTATTACTTTAAATTCTCTATCAGGTATATTACTTACCTCTGTTTCACTTAGGTCTCTTGTAATTTTGTCCTGATCTTTCATTTTGGGTCATAGTCCTCTGTCCCCTTATTTTGTCTAACTCTCTGTGTTTGTTTCTATGTGTCAGGTAAGTCAGCTGTGTCTCCTGCTCTTGAAAGTAGTGGCTTTATGAAGAAGAGGTCCTGTAGTGCCCTACAGTGCAATGTCCCCTGTTCACCAGAACCCAGTGCTTCAAGGGTATCTCCTCTGTATGTTGCATGCACCCTACTGTTGCGGCTGAGCCAAGTTTGCCTTTAGTCCGGTTGTCTGCAATGACTCTCCTTGCCTGTTGTGAGCAGGTTTTGGTCCCTGTGTTGTTAGTGGGCCAGTCTGGGGCCACTGTAGGCTAAAACTGAGTCAGATCAGATGTTTGCCAAAGATGCAATAGCACTGAACTGCCGGGTGCTTTCCCTGTGTTTTGCCCTGAAAAGCTTTTGTTGGAGGGTGGAGCCTGCAATCAGACTGGCCCCTTGCTGGGCCACAGTCTGACAGGTGCATGTATTTATCTTCACCTCTCCCCAGGGCAGGAGTCACTTTGGAGTGGTGGAGGCCCCTGGCAGGGCTACTTGCACACTTCTAGGCTTGTGGCACTGTTTTGGATGGACTCTGGCTAAGAGTGTATTGGAGAGAGCTGGGGCTCATGGTGCTAGCAAGATCTGCACAGGTTTCTGTGGGTGAGGGCTTCCAGCCCCTGGGAAAACTCCTGCCCAGGCTGGAATGGAGGGGTGGGTCCATAGAAGAGCTCAGGGAAGGAGGAGGTTTGCAGTTAGTAAGGTTCATGCAGGTCTGCTGTGTGAGAAAGACCTGAAGCTGCCTGGGATGGAGGGGGCGTGTGTGCAGAAGAATGTGGAGCCAGGGCTCTCACTGTGAGCAGGAGAGTGTTCTGCTGCCCGGGTTCCCACAGGTCTCTGCATATCTAGGCTGGGGGAACAAGGAAGGGAAATGACACCTTCTAGCTATTTTGTTCTTAGAGAAGTGTCCCCCAAATCCTTGTCCGTCCAGCACGTGCTCTGAGATTAGTAAATCCTCCTGTATACCCCACATGTTTTTCCAGCTGCCTCTTCTGTGCTGTATCTCAGCCGGGCTGTGGGCAGCACTCTCTTAATTATGTTCTTTCATTTCATCAGCAGTGCTCTTTCAATTACATTCTCCTTTCATTTTGTCATATTGGGATGCAAGGAAGGAGTTCAGGAAGGTATCATTCTCCTTAGTTTATAAATAAGAAAACTGAGATTTACTGAAAGTTACATATATTATAACTGAGACGACTAGAACTTAGAGATACTTTTCTTACTTCCTTTTGCTGCTTCACACTGAGATTGTCATTATCAACTGAAATTGTTAGGGCCCTCCAGCAGGAATAATTAAGTTTCATGTTAACTTCCTCCCTCTTTTACCTTAGGGTAAAAAAAATATGTAGGAGCAGATTTTATTAAAATAGATTGGGAGTTTCCCAGCATTTGGGCTTTGGAAAACATGAGTCTTGATTTAAATTCCAAAGGAAAATGTTTAGTAAAAATTAATAATAGAAATCTCAAAACCCTGGGGCGCCTGGGTGGCTCAGTCGTTGGGCATCTGCCTTCGGCTCGGGTCATGATCCCGGGGTCCTGGGATCGAGCCCCACGTCAGGCTCCCTGCTCCACGGGAATCCTGCTTCTCCCTCTCCCACTTCCCCTGCTTGTGTTCCCTCTCTCGCTGTGTGTCTCTCTGTCAAATAAATAAATAAAATCTTAAAAAAAAAAAAGAAATCTCAAAACCCTGATTCTAGAAAATTATAACTAAACATTTTAATTTAAAAATTCTTTTTTTTTTTTTTTAAAGATTTTATTTATTTGAGAGAGAATGAGAGACAGAGAGCACGAGAGGGAAGAGGGTCAGAGGGAGAAGCAGACCCCCCCGCCGAGTGGGGCGCCCGATGTGGGACTCGATCCCAGGACTCCAGGATCATGACCTGAGCCGAAGGCAGTCGCTTAACCAACTGAACCACCCAGGCGCCCTAATTTAAAAATTCTAACTCAAATTTTAGTTTAAGTTATGTATTAGAGGAAAACATGTACCCCAAACATTTGCTAAAGAAAAACATATTAACTAAGGTTCTAAAATAATAATATAGTAGCTGTCCTTAGATTTTTGTCCTTGGTTCCTTAGGAACTCTCATTGATTTAAACTGCTTTGCTTCTTATTTCTCTAGGACTACATAACCATGACATATAAGACACCAAAATAGGACTTACAAATTTTTTGAATAGTAGTCTTGATTCTTTTTAATGCATACTTTGTTCCTCTCCTTCAGGTAGCAAATTATGGAGTTGGAGGACAGTATGAACCCCATTTTGATTTTGCACGGGTAAGTAAAAAAAAAAAATGGGGAAGGGGGCGCCTGGGTGGCTCAGATGGTAAAGCGTCTGCCTTCGGCTCAGGTCATGATCCCAGGGTCCTGGGATCGAGCCCCACATCAGGCTCCTGGCTCAGCAAGGAGCCTGCTTCTCCCTCTCCCTCTGCCTCTCTCCCTGCTCATGCTTTCTCTCTCTGTATCTCTGTGTCTCAAAGGAATAAATAAAATCTTAAAAAAATGGGGACGGTAGGAGTTCTGCTGAAACTCAGGCATGACATGTTAATTCTGTTATTTTAGTATTAAAAATTTATAGTCTGTTTGCAATTTGTGGAAGCATGGTGGAATAGATACCCTATAAAACCTTTTTAGCAGTAAAAAACCCTTAGATACACAGTAAAAAAAATTAGATACTTTTAAATGCATTGCTGAGCCTGGAAGAAAGTAAAGGAAATTCCCAACGGCAAAATGAACAAGGAAAACTTAGAAACTAAAATTAGAGTTAAAGGGGGTGGCAGAAAAGCTGAAGCTGAAAGCATGTGCCTCCAGGAATATAGAGCTTTGGGGACTAACACCTCTGTGAGAGAACCTACCACTGTGCAGGCTACTGAACCTGAGAGACCCATGCATAAAACCTGAATCTCCAAAAGGATTACACCCTCAGAGAACGAATAGCCTGAAAATAATCTACTTTGAGTTAGGAGCCTTAAGGAGAGTTGCCTGTCATCACCCTGGTGGGAACGTAATGTGTATGAGAGCCTTTTCTGGAAGTTTGAAAGCATAGGCCTGCTCCCACATGAACCTTGGATTTGAATTTTCACTACCCTGGAAGAGGAGAAATGAAAGTTGTTCAGTTAGGTAGTGCTCCTTGGTACCTGGCAGAAAACAGGCATCCTCATTCTAACACCTCAGGAATTTTAAAGATTAAGGTCAGCCAAACAGGAACTGATTAAAAAAGAAATTACTAACTGGTAATAAGACACCATTGGTGAGACTGAAACAACCCACACATTTAGATGCCCCCAGGATGTTAGGTAGTTATCAGATACAGAATATAAAATAACTGTATAATATTTTTAAAAATTAAAGGATAAAAATTAATAAACTTTCAAAATGATTTAACATTTGAAAAACAAATGGAAGCTCTAGGTAGAAAAAAATAATTGTTGAAATTTAAAGTTTGGATAAATTAAAACAGGTTAGAGACAGTTGAAGTGAATTAGTAAATTAGCTGATAAATCTGAAGAAATTACAAGAATATGCTGAGAGATAGGAAGATAAATACAAAATAGATGGAGAGACTAAATAATATCGAAGCAGTTTGCTAAAAAGGTGTAACTTTTCTTTTTTCACATTAAGCTATAAATTATACATTATCAAATCTTAATTAAGCTTTATCATAATTACCTGAATTCTAGGGGTGCCTGGGTGGCTCGGTAGGTTAAGCGTCTGCCTTTGGCTCAGGTCATGATCCCGAGGTCCTGGGATTGAGCCCCACGTCAGGCTCCCTGCTTGGTGAGGAGCCTGTTTCTCACTCTCCCTCTGCAGCTCCCCTGATTGTGCACATGCATAGTCTCTGTCAAATAAATAAATAAAATCTTTAAAAAAAAAAGTAAAATAAATTCAGGGAGAAGTATTTTTTAAAAATTAAATGAATTCTAAGAACTAAACTGTCTCAGGTACTTTAATAAATTTATTGATCAATTACCATTTTAAAATGAGTATATTCTTTTGAAAGAAAACATAGCTTTTATTGTGTTATAGCCCTTGACCATCTTAAATCCCAGAACCCTAGACTCTTCTGTGTAGGCCAGCAAAGAATATATTTTTAGTTTCTTTCCCTTCTATTTTCAATTATTGAAAAATGTCTGAGAGTCTTGGATGATGTGAAAGAGTATAATTCAAGTCCTGATATTAGTGCAACTAAATTTTTTTCTTAGTTTTTTTATTTAGAAATCATTACAGATTCTTAGGAAGTTGTGAAGAAATGTACTGGGAGGTCCTGTGAACCGTTCCCTCAGCCTCCCCCACTGTTAACATCTTCCATTACTGTAGCACATTATCAAAACCAAGAAATAGGCATTGGCACAAGCCACCGAGCTTATTCATATTTCACCAGTTACATTTACACTAATTTGGGTGTGTGTGTGTCTGTGCAGTTTTATTACATGTGTAGCTTTGTGAAACTACCACCATAGTCAGGGTGCGTGAGTGCACCATCACGGCCAGACTCCCTCATAGACTGCTCTGTAGCTGCACATACCCTTCTGCTTCCTGTTCCTAACTGCTGGTTAGCACTCCTCTAACCTGTCTCAATTGTCGTTTCACAAATGTTAGACTTGTATGCAGTATGTATCCTCTTGAGATCTTCTCTTTTCACTCAGCATAATTCCCTGGAGGTTCATGTTCTTACAGAATGTAACTGTGTGCCTTTTTTATTGCTGAGTACTATTTTATGGTATGGACACACCTCAGTTTGTTTAGTCATTCATCCTTTGAAGGATGTTAGGGTAGTTTCCAGTTTGGGGCTGTCACAAATAAAGATGTGTGTAAATTTCTGTGTGAAAAATCCATTTTCCTGGGATAACTGCCAAGAGACTGTATTGTATTTTGATTTAGATTTTTTTAAAAAAAGATTTTATTTATTTATTTGAGACAGAGAACGAGCAGGGGGTAGGGGTAGAGGGAGAGGGAGAAGCAGACTCCTTGCTGAGCAGGGAGCCCGACACGGGGCTCGATCCCAGGACCCTGAGATCATGACCTGAGCTAAGGCATACATTTATCGGACCACGCCGTGCAGGCACCCCTAATTTAGATTTAAATAGCCAGATGTGAATTCTCCAGCCAGATTAAAGTGCTGACTGTCTAAAAGAATGACAAGCATAGTCACAGTAAACATTTGAATGGATAATGAGTTCAAAGTAAATCTCAAAATAAACTTTTTACCCACAGAGAACAGAGTTCATAAATGTAGCTATGAGGCTCTCTGTCTTTTTGGAAGCAAAACTATAGGCATGAATTTTATTAATAATCTGTAGATAGTATATATTGGTTTTCGTTATTTAGGCTAATAAATGTGGGGTTTTTTTCCCTGCAATGGTCTTACCAAAAGTATTCACTGTACAAGCTGAATTGAAATCCAACAAGTATTTAAGTGACTGCTATATATTGTGCACCAGACATTATAAATGAACCTTTTGGGGTTAGGCATATCCTTTAGCATATTACTGGTGTTTAGTTGCCACTAGATAATTTGCATTACTGAATTTCACTGTGTTTTATTCACAGAAAGATGAACCAGATGCTTTCAAAGAGCTGGGGACAGGAAATAGAATTGCTACATGGCTGTTTTATGTAAGTTACAGCTAAAATTTTTATTTTAAGATGGGATTTTATTACATGACATTTATTTTGATGTGTTCAGATGTTTGTTTTCCTTAGACCTTATTTAACATTCTAATTTAAAGTTTTTACAACTGAGTAAGTGGAGGGTTTTTTTTTTTGCATTTGTAACTTTTTCAGATTATAATATTAAAACCTGAATAAGAATGCTGAAATTACTAACAGTCTCTATATTTGGAGATAATCATTGTTGATATTTTGGAGTATGGACTGTTATTATGCATATATAAGCACCTCTGTATATATTCACACATATTTTAACAAACTCCTTTTGAATTTTTTTGATGATCTATATCAGAAAAAGTATACAAATCATAAGTATTTAACTTCATAAATTTTCACAGTGAACACATCTGGTGTAAGCAGCAGCTAGATCAAGATAATAGCACATTATAGCACCTTGGCAGCCCCATTAAGAGTAACTAACCATTTTCACGTTGTTTATTAAAGTTTCAAACAGTATGGTATTTTTTTATTTTTTCTATATGTTTAGGTATATGAACTGAACAATCTTAACTTTGGTCATAATATTTGCTCCAGTTCTCTACTGCTGCATAACAAATAACCACAAATCACCACAAAACTGAATGGATTAAAATAACTTTTTTATTATGTTATGTTAGTCACCAACAGTACATCATTAGTTTTTGATGTAGTGTTCCAGGTTTTTATCTCTCTTGGTTGTGAGGTTGAGCGGGCTTCACTCCTGGTTCTTGCTCTGGATCTTTCATGCATTTGCAGTCAGAGGATGACTGGAACTGGGGTCATTTTGAAGGCTGAGGTTGAGACTGGCTTTGGCCAGAATACCTGCATGTGGTCTGGGCTTCCTCCCAGCATGGTGACTGGATTACAAGAGCTCATGTCTCCACAAAAAGCAAGGCTGAAATGCATGGCATTTTCATTACCTACCCTCAGAAGTCAAATAATGTCACTTCTGCATTTTATTAATCAAGGCAATTACAAAGATCTGCCAAGGTTCAGGGGGAGAGGACATAGACTCTACCACTCGATAAGAATATTGGTGTCATGTAAAAAAACATGTAGGACAGGGCATATTGGTATAATATTTGGAAAATATAATCTACAGTAGTAACCTTTGTTAACTTAAAAAATGTATTTTATATCTAGACTTAAATTTTGCTTATTTCATTACACTTTCTATCCCGTCCCCATTTGAATGATACGAAAATGGCATCTCTTTGCTGTTTTATTCTCACTCTCTACCAAAATCCGTGTATCTCTGCTCAGTCTCATTTTCTTTCTTCATTGCTCCCTTCACCTTCCCTGTGTGTCTTTTACTCTATTTCCTCCATTCCGCTTTCCCTCTATTCAACCTACCTTCTCACCTTCCTACCTTATTATTCTCCCACCCTCCCCTCTTACAACTTTATCTGTTTCCAAAAAGATTTAAGTACTGTAATATAACTAAGTTAAAGATGAGAGAGAATTACCACAAAGGGAAAACCAGGGGAGAAGCTTGATACATTATACAAAATTCATGCTGTGAAATCTTGTATACTTTTTAGAGGTGAACTTCCATTATTGTACCAATTTATATCCCACCTTTAAGTGTGATGTTTGTCAGACTTCGATCTGTACATCTTTCACTTATTAGACTAGCAGTTTTTGTGGCTTTAATTTGCATTTCTCTTATTAGAGAGGTTGGTCATCTTTTCTGATGTTTAAGAGACATTTTTTTTCTTTTATGAATATTGATGCTGTATTACTTGGTCCAATATCCATGAATATTAGATTTGACCATTAGATTTTATGTTAATTACTAATATGTTCTTTAATTATATAGCATTTTGATTAGATTAGTAATTCATGTTCCCCCCCCATTGTTTAAATACTGTTCCTAGATGGGCCATTTAGCACAACTTTTTCATTGTTTTTTCATTGCTTACAGAGCTGATAGCACTTTGCTACTGATGCTGTATTTATCATAGTAAAATACCCTTATTTATCTCACTTAATATCAGGCACAGTTTAAATCAAAATAAAAGCATTAAGATCAAACTCTGTTTTCTTTGATATAACATTTGCCTGGCAAATCTTTTTGTTTTCAGTGTGTTTAAGTCCCTTGTTTTAGATGTGACTCTTGGATGTAGCAATAATTGGGTTTTGCTTTTTGATACAGTCTTTATGATCTGTGTTTCCTTTGTCTCATTTTGTCCATGTGCTTCCTCAATTTGGAAGATTTGTGTTTTTATTCTAGGTTACATTTTAAAATTTTTAAGATTTTAATTCTAGTACAGTTGACATACAGTGTGATACTAGTTTCAGGTGTACAAGTTAGTGATTCACCACTTCCGTACATTACCCGGTGCTCATCACAAGTGCACTCCTTAATCCCCATCACCTCTTTAACCCATCCACCCCTGACTTCCCGTCTGGTAACCATCAGTGTGTTCTCTATAGTTAAGAGTTTATTTCTTGGTTTCTCTCTTTTTTTTCCCTTTGTTTTGTTTCTTAAATTCCAAATATGAGTGAAATCATATGGTATTTGTCTGTCTCTGACTTACTTTGCTTAGCATAATACTCTCTGGCTCTGTCCATGTCATTGCAAATGGCAAGGTTTCATTCTTTTTTATGGCTGAATAATATTCCATTGTGCATATATACATCACATCTTCTTTATCCATTAATCTTTCAGTGGATACTTGGGCTTCTTCCATAATTTAGCTATTGTAAATAATGCTGTAATAAACATAGGGGTACATATATCCTTTTGAATTAGTGTTTTCATATTCCTTGGGTAAATACCTAGTTAGGAGCACCTACTATTACTACTGTAGACACTAAAGCTCAGCAGTGAACAAATGAAAAGTCCTGTCCCCATGGAGGTTATACTTTAGTGCAATATATGCATAATTATACCCCTGTATTACTTGGTGTATTGGTTTTAAATAATCTCTTTTTACCTCTAGCTATAAGACATAAAAGATATCCTTATCGCCTTTCCTGACTTTATCATTTCTTTGCTTTTTATTTTTTTACTTAAGTATGTAAACCTAAACAGCATTTTGTTTAAAAACTGAGTAGCATGCACAAACCTATCTATGTTAGGTATAAGTCCAGATATTCTCATATTCTGTGCAGTATCCTATCTTCCTCACAATGGCATATTTAACTTTATTATACCAGTGCTTCTGATAATACTCTGGAATTCTTACAGATGAGTGATGTGTCAGCAGGAGGAGCCACTGTTTTTCCTGAAGTAGGAGCTAGTGTTTGGCCCAAAAAGGTAATTTTGTGGATCTGTTTTTTCCCTGAGGAGGAGATGCACCTCAATTTCATGGTTTAATTAACTCCATTTTTAAAGATAGAGATAATCCTTACTAGGTAAAATTTACTTACTAGGTATACCAGGTAAAATTTAAAATTTTTTTTTCTTTAAGATTTTATTTGACAGAGAGACAGCAAAAGAGGGAACACAAGCAAGGGGAGTGGGAGAGGGAGAAGCAGACTTTCCGCTGAGCAGAGAGCCCACTGTGGGGCTGGATCCCAGGACCCTGGATCATGACCCGAGCCGAAGGCAGATGCTTAACGACTGAGCCACCCAGGTGCCCCAAAATTTTGAATATTTTTATGGCACAATTTTTATGATTACCTAGAGGTAATGAACAACCAAGGATTAGTACTTAAAAGTTTTCATTCCTAAAATGGGTTCCAGGGGTGCCCGGGTGGCTCAGTCGTTAAGCATCTGCCTTCGGCCCAGGTCATGATTCCAGGGTCCTGGGATCGAGCCCCGCGTCGGGCTCCCTGCTCAGCGGGAAGCCTGCTTCTCCCTCTCCCACTCCCCCTGCTTGTGTTCCCTCTCTTGCTGTGTGTCAAATAAATAAAATCTTTTAAATAAATAAGATAAAATGGGTTCCATATGATGTTTATCCCTCCATCTTGCTATTGTAAGATTTGTCAAGCAACTTTGTGGTGTTAACATTTTCATGATCACCAAAATTTTGTAAATGACTATATTTTTAGAATTTTATTAGAGAAGATATAATGCTGCCATAGAGGTGTACTTCCTCACAGGAACAGAGGAAAATTTAATTTTTGCAAAAAGTGATAACCTGATATTTAGAGATAATTTTGTATTATTCTCCACAGGGAACTGCTGTTTTCTGGTATAATCTGTTTGCCAGTGGAGAAGGAGATTATAGTACACGGCATGCAGCCTGTCCAGTGCTAGTGGGAAACAAATGGGGTAAATATTTCCTATATTCTCTTGTGATTTCTCCTAACATTGAAAGGGATTCAGCCAAGCCAGTTTCTGATCTTAATATATTTGGTTTCAACAGCTCAGAATTCTGATGACAGATTTTAACAGTATTCCCACTTGAATAAGACAGTATTTTTCCCTCAAGGAGTTTACAGTTGTCTGATTGAGACATGCTAATGGATAAATTAGAATAGTACCCACTAATACAGTGATGTAAACAGATGGTGACTCCTTATATTTGGGAGAGGCTTCTTCAAAGCTTAATTTTAAAGTTTGGTCTTGAAGCTAAGAGCAGTATGTTTTCCAGGCCTGTTAGAGACCGGGGCCAGGACTCATGTGAGGCTAGAGACACACTCAGGGTCATGCTAGCATGACCGGCCACATTAAAACAAAATAGAAACAGGTGAAGTTATTTTAATACATATTACTTAACCCTATAAATCCATTCCAGTATGTGTCACTAGCCACCTTTCAAGTACTTAGTAGCCACATGTGTCTAGTGGCTACCATATCAGACATAGCAGGACTAAGGAGTGACACCTGATCATTAGAATTTTAAAAATCTCCCCTGATGATGATAATGTTTGAGAATCACTGGACTAGAATGAAGAGAGACTAGTGACTGGGAGATCAGTTTAGAAGGCTCTTTTCCCTTGTCTAAGTGGGCGAGGATGAAAGCCTGGACTAAGGCAGCAGCAAAACTGTTGGAGAGTAAAGAGATTGAAGAGATATACAAGGAAGAGTGACAGGGTTTGATTAATAAAAGATTGGAGACAGGAGTTGAGAAAGATAAAAGAGTAATTAGGGGTCCTAGTTTAGGTATTTTGTACGCATTGATGCCACTGATTGGGCTCTAGGATATAGGAGGAGTAGAAAATTCCATTTGAGGTACATTGAAAAGCAGTATCTTGGAATCAAGGAAACTTAATGAGCACATAATAGTGATTGATTGTAGAATTGTTCCTGTAGAGTGGAGGCTTTGTGTTCATTTTTAAAATGTCTCTGTTAGAGATCGTATTTTGCAAACAGGTAAAACAATGTTCTGTCTGTACCTACATCTTAATTCCAATTGTGTTTTCATTTCAAGCCTTTGATTGAACATCAGTTACTTTAGGAAGTGCACATACATAGACTCTCAAATGTATGTCCAGCATTTAGGGAAGCTTTTAAAAAAGTGCCTAGGTACCATCTGCCTTCATCTTATTTGGTCTTAAACTTTTAGCTCATATAGAAACTTTGTTAAACTAGTTAGATAGTAGAGAATATTAATATATTTTTTTTCTCTCACAGTATCTAATAAGTGGCTCCATGAACGTGGACAAGAGTTTCGAAGACCATGTACCTTATCAGAATTGGAATGACAAATAGGCTTCCCTTCCTCTCCTGTTATACTTTAATGTGTCTGATATGCACATTTCCCGGTCTTAACTTTCCAGCGTTTACAATTGACTAACACTCCATGATTGATTTCAGTCATGAACCTCATCCGATGTTTCATCTGTGGACAATCACTAACTTTGTGGGTTTTTTCTTTTAAAAGTAACACTAAATCACCATATTGTACATACAAACCTTTAAAGTTCAGTTGGTATCACAGAGGATAAAGCAAGGTAGAGTTTAAAATGAGGAATTTTTACACTTATTTCCTAAAGAACTTCTTGGTTGGATAAAGAAAACAGTTTAAGCATCTGATTATAGTATTTCACTACATCTCAGTGTTTAGGGGATAGGCTAGAATGGGCCATGTGATTAAGGAACAGAAGCTTCATAGTATGTACCTAGGTATTAGGTTTACCTAGTCTTCTTTTCTGGATCTGCCTGAAGACTAGGAATAAACTAGGCCTCTGATCCGGGTTCCATTTGATGTTTGCCCCATATGCTATTCTAAGTTGATTTTTTTCCTTTCAAATCTTTTTAAAGAAAGTATACTGTATTTTACCAGTCCCATTCTTCTCTCATAGCTCCTCTGTGGTGAATTAAATCTGAGTTAAAATACTTTGATTAAACAAAAATTTTTAACACAAAGCCCTATATAACACTGGTTCTTAACTAAAATGATGATTAGTTTGTTTCTTTCCCCCTTTTCTTAAATGACTGATGATTTTGTCCATAAAATTTGCTGTTTTTCTTAGTGCTAATACCTTGCCTCTTATTCCTGCTATAGCAGGGTGATGATATTGGCATTCTGATAAAATATTGTGCCTTAGGAGACTGGAAATTGTAAAATGTACAAGTCCTTTTAATGATGAGGGAATTGATAAAAAAAAAAAAAATCTTTTCTAAAAAGCCAAAATGTTTTTCTCAATTCTGAAATGTGTTGTGACAACAATGACCTATTTATGATCTTAAATCTTTTTTTAAAAATGTTTTTGTTTTCTGTGTGGTATTTTTCATACTTGAATGTGAATGCATACTATAGTGACAACAGGTGATTTCTTTTTTTTTTTTTTTTAATGCAGAGTACTGAGGTTTATCCCCTTGGTTTTCATTCACTCTAATGTCACACTGATATGGTAGAAAATTTAGGCTCTCTGAACTTGCAGATACTTAATCAAAATAGGTTTCCTTCAAAAGGAGCACTACAACTTTACTATGGTTATGGAGTTACTACAATAATGTTACTTAAGCTCTCTCTTATTCAAAAATAAGGTGTAATATAAAGCTGTGACCATAATGAAGTATACCCATTGACCCTTTGGACTTTTTACATTTCTTATGGTGAATCTTAGTTCATACCAGGGCTTTCTATCCTTTATGCACTATTTAAATATTTAAGAATTTGGTTGCTTGGGTAAGAAGGTATTATTACTTTTACCAATTCCTTTCTCCAAAATACCCTTTGTTTCACAACTATTTTGGTAGGAAATTTGAAAATTAGCTTCAGTATTTTAATCTTAGATTTTGTGGCTATAGATGATGATTTATTTAAAAGAAATAATCATGCTAGAAGCAATGTAAATGCCAGAGGATAGAAATAAAGTGGGGGTTCAGTGAATGGAAACTAACCTTTATTACCCTATGTGATTTAGCAAGTAGAATAAAAATAATATATATTTCAGAAGGAAATGACATTCTTACAGATTTCTTCATTATATTCAACCCAAACTCTCCGTGGGGATCAGTAAACTCTCTTCAGTGTTAGTTGGTAATGAAACTTGGGAGGGTTCTGTAAGATCTATTTTTCTTTCCAGATGAAAAGGAGAAAAAAAAAATTCCATAAAAAGTTTTGAGTCCAGTGGTCATTGCAATCTTTTTTTTTTTTTTTTTTATGGTGAACATTAAAGGAGGGCTACATACCAGCTCTGGATGCCCTGGGGCACAGAAAAAAAAAAAGCTGTGATTTAAAGGAGCAACTAGAATATAAGGGAACTCTGCCAAAGGATGGGGGAGCTGTTGGAACTCTCTTTAGGTTGGAGGGGCTAGCAAGTGCCCTTCACTTTGATAGCATGGATGGAGGCAGGGTCTGAGCACCCGAGCAGGCTTACCACCTTAGTGAGACCCAGGCCTCTAGCCCATGCCAGTCCCAGCCATCCCACCAAGGCAGCCTCAGCTGCAGCCCGGATGGGGCACACACCAGGACACCCTTAGTGAGTGCTCACTGTAGCTCCAGCCATCTGTCAGATGACAGAGGCACAGAACACCCCAGAGCACTCCAAACCACCACTTTGGCTCCAGAGGACTTGCCAGGGCACCTGTAGCATAGCACTCCAGGAACCCCTGGCCGGTGCCTGCCATGGTTACAGCCACTCCACCAAAGCACCCCTGTGTGGAGTGCTCCAGGATTCACTGGCCCATAACCTGCCTTAACTCCAACTGCTCCTGTAGGGCACCCTCTGCACTTAGCACTTGCACCCGCTATCAGTTTCAGCTGTTCTGCCCAGGTGCCCCCTGCACCAAGAGCCCCAGGACCAGGCCAGCCCATGCCCACTTCAGCTATGTTCACCTGTCAGGGCACACTCTGTAGGGAGTGCCCCAGAACCCCCCAGCCCACACCCAACCTTGGCTCCAGCTACCCCACCAGGGTGCCTCCTACATGGAGCATAACAGATTCCCTAGCTTGTACTTCACCTGGGTACCCTCTGCAGAGACCCCAAGGGCTGCCCTAGTCCATACACTCTTCAGCTAGCCTGCCCTGGTACCCTCTGCACAGAGAACCCAGGGACCACCCAGACTATGCCCATTTCAGCTCTGGCCATCCCACAAGGACAGCCCCAGCACTCCAGCCTATGCCACACACAGCTCCAGCCAGCAAACCAAAGTCATCAGGTACGCATAGTTTACATGGGATGGCCTTACACAAGACCATTCCTTTGAGTTTAGAAGTAGCTGTTCCACCTAATTCATAGAAATAAACACAAAGTCAAGCAAAATGGGGAGAGAGAAATATGTTGCAAATGAAAGAAGACAAAACCTCAGAGAAAACTAAATGGAGATAAGCAATATTTCTGGTAAAGAGTTTAATGATCATAAAGATACTGCACTGGAGAGAACAGTGGAAGAGCTCTGTGAGAACTTGAAAACAAGGAAAATATAAAAAGAACCGAGTTGAAGAATACAATAACACGGCACATGGGTGGCTCAGTCAGTTGAGCGTCTGCCTTCGGCTCAGGTCATGGTCCCGGGGTCCTGGGATCAAGTCCTCTGTCGGGCTCCCTGTTCAGTGGGGAGTCTGCTTCTCCCTCTGCCTCTCTTCCCCAACATCTCTCTCTCAAATAAATGAATGAAATCTTTAAAAAAATACCATAAAGGGAATCAACAGATTAACAAATGTAGAAGAATGGATCAGTGATTTGAAAGGATAATAGAAAGCAACCAGGCTGAACAGCAAAACAAAGAATTTTTATTTTATTAAGTAGGCTTCATGCCCAGTGTGGAGCCCAATGTGGGGTTTGAACTCATGACCCGGAGATCAAGACCTGAGCTGAGATCATGAGTCAGATGCCTAACTGGTTGTTACCCAATACCCTGAAAAAAGAATTTTTAAAAATGAGGATACTTTAAGGGATCTCTTAGACAACATCAAGCAAACAAACATTCACATTATAGGGGTCCCAGAAGAAGAAAAGAGAGAGTAAGGGGTAGAAAACTTCCCTTACCTGGGGAAGGAAACACATCTAGGTTCAGGAAGCAGAGTTCAAACAAGATGAACTCAAGGTGGTCTACACCACAACACATAATTAAAATGTCAAAGATCAAAGAGAATTTGAAAAGCAGCAAGAGAGAAGAAAATAGGTACAAGGGGAAACCCCATAAGACTGATTTTTCAGCAGAAATTTGTAGGTTAGACGGGAGTGGCTGCTGAAAGGAAAAAACCTGCAATCAAGACTACCTGTAAGATTATCATTCAGAATTGAAGGAGGAATAGTTTCCCAGCTGAAAGTTAATTACTACTAAACCAGCCTTATAAGAAATGTTAAAGGACTTTTCTTTACATGTAAAAGGCCATAATTAGAAGAAAATGTCTGAATAAAAAGATGTAAGATAGGATACCATACACAGAACACATGTTGGCAGGGGATTAAAAAAGTTTTTAGAATGTGTTCAAACTGAACCATCAAGTTAATACATATATCCTTAGGATGTTATATATGAACCTCATGGTAACCACAAACCCAAAACCTGTAACAGATACACAAAAAAATACAGAGAAAGAAAGCCAAACAAACTAAAGAAAGGCATCAATCACAGCAGAAGAAAGGAACAAGAAAAACTACAAAACCAGCCAGAAAACAATCAACAAAATGCAATAAGTATATACCTATCAATAACCACTTTAAATGTAAATGGTCTAGATGCTCCAATCAAAACACAGAGGGTGGAATGGATAAAAAACAAGAACCATCTATATGCTGCCTACAAGAGACTCACTTAAGACTAAAGACACAGACTGAAAGTAAAAGGATGGGAAAAGGTACTCCATGCAAATAGAAGGCATGGGGCGGGGGGGGGGGAAGCCAAGGTAGCAATACTTTTATCAGACAAAAGAAGAATGTAACAAATGACAAGGCCATTAACAATGATAAACCAATCCAACAAGAGGTTATAATAATTACCAAGTGTCTATGCACCCAACATTGGAGCACCTAAGTACATACAGCAAATATTAATAGACATAAAGGGAAAAATTGACAGTAATACAATAATAGTAGGTGACTTAAACACGCCACTTAATATCAATGGATAGGTCATCCAGGAAGAAAACCAATAAGGAAACAGTGTCATTGAATGCCACATTAAACCGAATGGACTTTACAGATACATACAGGACATTCCATCCAAAACCAATAGAACACACATTCTTTCCAAGTGCACATGGACCATTCTCCAGGATAGATCACATACTGGGTCACAAATCTCAATACATTTAAGAAGACTGAAATCATATTATGCATCTTTTCTGACCACAATGGTATTAAACTAGAAATCCATCACAAGAAGAAATCTATAATAAACAGATACATGAAGGTTAAATAACATGCTACTAAACAATGAATGGGTCAACCAAGAAATCAAAGAGGAAATAAAAAAAAAATACATGAAGACAAATGAAAATGAAAACACAATGGTCCAAAGTCTTTGAGACACAGTGAAAACAGTTCTAAGAGGAAAATTTATAGTAATAAAAGCATACATACCTCAAGAAACAAAATCTCAAATATGCTATCTAGCCTTACACCTAAAGGGGCTAGAAAAAAAAAAAAAAAAAAAAACCAAGGCCAAAGTCAGTGGAAGGAAATAATAGAGACAAAAAGAAAAATCAATGAAACCAAGAGCTAGTTCTTTGAAACAAATAAAACTGATAAACCTTTAGTCACACTCATCAAGAAAAAAAGAGACAACCCAAATAAATGAAATCAGAAATCAAAGAGGAGAAGTAACAACCCAACACCACAGAAATGCAAAGGATTATGAGACTACTAGAAAAAATATGCCAACAAATTGAACAACCTAGAAGAAATGAATACATTTTCAGAAACTTCCTAAACTGGGTTCCTGGGTGGCTCAGTCAATTAAGCATCTGCCTTTGGCTCAGGTCATGATCCCAGGGTCCTGGGATCGAGTCCCACATCAGGCTCCCTGCTCAGCGAGGAGTCTGCTTCTCCCTCTCCCTCTGCCCCTCCTCCCTACTCGTGTGTGTGCTCTCTCTCAAATAAATAAAATCTTTAAAAAGAAAAAGAAACCTCCTAAACTGAAGTAAGAAGAAAAATAAAATCCAAACAGAACAATTGTAAGTAACAAATTGAATTAGTAATAAAAAAATTCCCAACAACCAAAAGTCCAGCACTACATGGATTGACAGGTGAATTCTACCAAACAATTAATGAAGAGTTAACACCTATTCTCAAAATATTCCAATAAAATAGAGGAAGGAAAGCTTCCCAGTATGTTCTACAAGGCCAGTATTGCCCTAACAAAACTGAAGACACTACAAAAAGAAGAAAACTACAGGCCAATGTCCCTGATGAACATAGATGCAAACCTCCTCAACAAAATATTAGCAAACCACAATTGTAAACAATACATTAAAAGGATCATTCACCAGGGTGCCTGAGTGGCTCAGTCAAGCATCTGACTCTTGATTTTGGCTCAGGTCATGATCTCAGGGTCATGAGATTGAGTCCTGTGTTGGGCTCTGCACTCAGCAGGGAGTCTGCTTGAGAGTCTCTCTCTCTCCCTCTCCTGCTGCCCCTCCCCCTGCTCTCTCTCTCTAATAAATCTGGGGGAAAAAGGATCATTCACCATAATCAAGTGGGATTTATTCCAGGGATGCAAGGATGGTTCAATATTTGCAACTCCATCAACGTGACACACCACATTAACAAAAAGAAGAAAAATCATGATCATCTCAATAGATACAAAAAAAGCATTTGACAAAATCTAACATCCATTCATGACAAAAACTCTCAACAAAGTGGGTTTAGAGGTTTTATACCTCAGCATAATAAAGACCATTTATGAAAAACCAACAGCTAACATCACAGTGGTGAAAATCAGAGCTTTTCCTTTAAGATTAGGAACAAGACAAGGATATCCAGTCTTACTAGTTTTATTCAACATAGTACTGG